CTGCCAGCCGCCGGGAGAAGCTCGGCGTCAAGCCCGTCGCTCCTCCGGCCAGGCGCCGTGGGCCGTGTCTCCACGGAGCAATGACAACCCGAATTCCTTCTCCTGACTGAATTCCTGCCACCTTTAGGTCTTTCAGGCAAATGATATTCCTTCCCAGCACTTCCCACTACTCTCTTGAATAAACTCTTTCTCAAAGTAGGCGAATGCGATCCGTCGGCGTCCAGTTTAACATCGTTTTGATGATCGGAGCTGAGGGGTTTCTCATCGTGACCTCTGGGAGAGTCTCGGTGGCATCTCTCATCCCCAGGCGCTCAGGTCGCTGGGTTTTTTTCCTGTTAAACTTAATGCTTTGGCAAACCCCATCCTGGGGAGCAAAACGCATTCGATTTAGTAGCAGTTGGTGTAGTTCCTTCAGCGTTTAGTTTAGTGCCCCGGGAGATGTTGTGAAACAAAGCAGGGTTCTGGAGTTTGGTTGTGTAGGGCAGCTGCACATGTCGGGTTTGGGGAATTTGTCGGGAGCAGAAACGTTTGGGCATTGTCTGTGTGTACAGAAATTATGAATGTTTTCTTCTGAGTCCGGCATTCAGGGCCTATTGAACCCGCAAAGGCTCTGTTCTCATATCGTATAGGAATTATAATCTATAGGCTACAAAGAGATTGCTTATATTTAACAAAAGAGTAGACAAGTACACTTCTTTTCTGGCTTAGTTGTTTAATTTTGCTTGAGTTTCTTCTCTGGCTCTGTTAGGAGACAGATAAGTACGGCGGCTCAGGTGCCGGTGGCCCAGCCTAGCTCACGCTGATAAATAGAAATTGATGTTCCTTGTCTGATCTTGCTACCATCAACAACGACCGCTATTAAGAGCGCTGACATGGTGTATAAGAACTGTATTTCCAGTAAAAGGGAATGGTCTGGTGGTTAAATCGTGGAGTCTTTTACTCTTGATCGTCCCAAAGACCTCAGCCAAGCTGCCAAAAACTTCTCTGTCCCTCCTACTCTTCCCCGGTAAAGTCTGAATAATTTGTCTTTCAGATGGCTTTTTGTATTTATCTCTATATTCTTTAAATTTGGTACAGGAGTTTAGTGACGTGGCACCTTAAAATATTCACTCTGGATGTTCTTAGCACCTTTAATTTATTAAAATAGACTTTAGGAATGTGATTCATCTTCAATTCGTGCCCTCTTTGCTCCATCACTGCCTGTTTACACTCAATTACTAGGGAGTTTCATTCCCTGGCTCTCAAGTGCTGCCTTCAGAGTGCAAGGCAACAATTACATGCAGAAGGTAGTCGTCTTTAATGTTGTGAAAATAATAGGTTTGGGGTTTTTTTGTCAAGTATTACAAAACGCGGGCTTTGCCTCGCATCCTGGACAGGAAGGAGTCCCATCAGTTTAAGGATCAAACTTACGCTAACGACGGTGGCTTATTTGTTAAATTGTTATAACTTAGAGATGAGAGAAACTTGACTTCTTGCCATATTGATGCAAGACGGCACCATTTTCAAATCTATAAATGAAATGGGCGGTTTCATTTTGGTTGGCTTGATGACATTTTTATTGAAATGCTCTTTTTTCTCTCCCCGGTATTCTCATCTTAGCGCTCAAAACAGGGCAGATGAATATCCCTCTGAGAAGCTGAGGATTACAGAGTTTGCACAAATTTCAACTACTAATATGCAAATAAAATGAACGAGCAAGACTCTTGTTGGCAACCTACAACAAATGTTCCAGGCCTGTGTCAGTATTTATTCCTATTTTTATGAAAACTTCTGAACAGAGTGTGCCTGAGCCTCCAGGAAGCAAATCCTGGCCGTGTCTGAGCAGAGCTGCTTGCGATCTGCGACTGGATTTCAACACCCCTTAATGTCACATCCACGTCCCGGCTTCTCTGCGGATTCATCTTTCGCTTTAATGGGGAGGTTCTCCCAAAGAAAACATCCTCTCTGATGGCTTTTCACAGCTCCACTACGCTTTTTTCGTCCTTGCTTCTTACCTTAAGTGGCTCTGAAAGGCGCCCGAGCCTACGAAGGGTTTTCCTTTAAGCTGTGCGCTGCACACGGTGAGTCATCCTGCAGAACTCACAAGCAGTTTCACAAATACCAGATGGCAATAAAATTAAAAGTAGTAGCTAGTGGCAGTTAAGCATTTGCTATAACCATTCTCCCTTCCTGACTGTAGGAAGCTGCCAAATGTCTTTTTTTTTTTTTTCTCCCCTTGACCAAAAAGAAAAACCAAACGATGTTTCTGCAGAGTGGAAAATTAACAGAATACAGGACGCATGCTTCCTTCCCTAGCCCGTAATCCCGTTTGGACTTGAGTGGAAAGCTATTTGCTTATTTCATACATCTCTAGGAGAAAATGAAGAAGAAAAAACAGGCAGGAAAGGAAAATTTGGGGCATTGTATGGGCACCGGCAAAAAGCATTTCAGCAGTGACCCTGTTAAACCCGCAAACTGGTCGCTTCTAGGCTCGCAGGCTGTACAGCTTTTTAAACAAAACTACAGTCAGGCATGCTACAGAGTTGCTGGGACTTAATTTAGATTTTTTGTTTTGTTTTTATACTGCAGGCTCTTGCAAAGGATCTGCTCCACAAACTTGGAAATAGTTCGAGCTCATTAACGTAGGAAGCATGTCCAAATACCATTGTGTTTGGCTCAGTATAAATAACAATGACTGCTCCCCTTCCTTTTCAGTGACTCTTGCTGCTTGGCATGTCTCGGATCTATCAGCGACACACAAATAGTTATTAGCTTTTTCAAGCCCCAGATACTTTACCTCGGCCCTTCCTTCCGACGTATTACACATGCAGCATGCTTCATCCATTTGGTTATTTACAAGTCACATGCGATGTGACCTTGCCAAGATGTTTTAGAGATAAATCTCTCTTAATTTATGCATACCTGGCCCGGACAGACTTTTTTTCATGATTCACATCGCAATAAGAAGCACAAATCTACTTCTTCCTAACATGTAAACAACACAACACTTGATTTTTTTTATTTCCCCCTATCATAATGGATAATTAATGTCTTATTTATAGCAAATCACATTAAAGTGATATTATCGTTATTAGTTTTCACACGGTCCTTTAAGAAATTCTAAGATGTTTTCATGCTGCGTTTGGCACAGATGAGGAAAGGGTGAGGCCAAAGCAGCTCCACGTCACCGCTGTCCCAAGCTGCGGTGTTTCTAGCCCTGTCCTGGCAAGGAGAGAAGTGTCGGAGGCTGATGGTGCATCGCAGCAGCTGAGGAGCCCAGGCTGGAGGATGCGAGAGCAAAAGGAAAACCACGGCGGGTATAGGGGGTTTAAATCAACAGTTTCTCTGCAGAAGATCTCCTCCTAAATCCTCGTCCGGTGGCAGCGAGTATTTCGTGTTGTCTACTGAGTAGCACCTCCTAGAGTGCCATGCAACCTCTTTCTTAAAACACACTTTAATCCCCCCGGGACACGAAGGCAGAAAATGCAACAGCTTCTGAAAAGGAATTATATGACTAGTAGAAAGACCAGAATTAGTGGATATTCGGATAGCCTGATAAACGGAAAGGGGTCAGGAGAAGTCTTGCTTGGAAGACCTGTTGAAGTCCCTTGAGTACATCCTCAAACACGTTGGTGGGGAGAACCAGGTGCTACAGTCTACCTGAATTCCCAGGCACTTTTTTAGGGATAAGCAGCTTCTATTTGTGGAAAACAGGCGCAGATTAAGAGGGAAGAACGTAGCCTGGACAAGTAACAGAGTAGTGGGTCGGCATGACCCGTCACTTCTGTTCGCAGGTGGACATCACCAGTGGAAGCCTGCAGGGATCTTGACCCCTCAGTGTACCCACGACTGCTTTCTTCTTTTGCGAGCAAAATTTTGGCAAGTTAAAACCTGAGCTGAAAAACAATAGGTATTTTGCGGACCATCCAGCTTTGGTGGTACGTGAGTTATTGAAATCTCTACTGGCTAGGAGGAGAGTTGTCCTAAAGATTCCCACGGTAGGGAACGGGTTTGTTTGTGATCTTGTTTTGCTTTGTTTCTCCTTACTCATTGCCGCCTTGCCTCCTATGCTGGCGGGCCAGCAGGTTTTCCTGGAACAGGTCACGCGTCTGGCACCGAGCCATGGCACTATCTGCTAGGCAAAAGGGACCAAATGTCTGTCAGACAGCCCCGAAAAGACTTTTACTTAAGGGATACCAGTGATGCAAAGAATTACAGTGATTGTCACTGTGCAGGTGAAACACTGAAACACCAAAACACCAGCCGACTTCTCCTAGATCACGTATGGTTTCTGTGCGAAGCACAGAACTGAAGGCGTGCCTGCAGTTCCCAAGCAGGAACTGCTTTGAAATCACTTTGCTTTGAGGTTAAGATCATAACGATGAAGCGTTTATCTAATCGGAGCCACACACGGCTCCACAGCCCGGCTCAGCCCGTCACATGCTGCAGATGAGGAGCAGCGTGTCCTCCCTCTGCTCATCTGGCAAATAGTTCAAATGCTGCTTCTTCAAATATCCCCAAAAACCTGGACTTTTGCTCACTGCTTGCTGAGAAGGAACTCGAAATGTTTGTTGCGCTGTATCTTGTCCCAGGTGTGATCTAATTCTTTAATTCATCTTCCCTTTCTATGTTTCAGCTTTTGAACTTTCCTGGAGTGCTGCGGCCCCAACCTGTGCAGGATGGACCCTGTCGTTCTCAGTTACATGGACAGTTTGCTGAGGCAGTCGGATGTTGCCTTGCTGGACCCCCCAAACTGGCTTAACGATCACATCATCGGGTTTGCCTTCGAGTACTTCGCCAACCACCAGTTCCAAGAATTTAGTGATCAGGTTTGTTTTATCAGCCCCGAAGTAGCTCAGTTCATTAAATGTGCCCTTAGTCAGGAAGAAATAGCCATATTCCTTCAACCGCTGGACCTTCTCCACAAGAAGCTGGTGTTCTTGCCTATCAATGATAACTCCAACCAGGTCGCTGGGGGCACCCACTGGAGCTTACTGGTTTATTTCAGGGACAAAAAGTGCTTCGCCCATTACGATTCCCACAGTAAATGCAACTCCGTCCACGCCAAGCAAGTGGCGGGGAAGCTGGACGCCTTCCTGGGCAAAAGAGGGGGCAAAGCAACCTTCCTGGAGGAGAAGGCGCCTGCCCAGCAGAACAGCTATGACTGCGGGATGTACGTCATCTGCAACGCGGAGGCTCTGTGTCAGGGATACTTCAGGGGCCGGCCGGAGCCTTTGCTGCAGCTCCTCACTCCCTCCTACATCACGCAGAAGAGATCGGAGTGGAAAGCTCTCGTCACAAAACTGGCGCAGAAGTGATCGAGACGCAGCTCCAGCCCCGCCAAAAACTGCCTTCCCTGTCCGCGAGGCAGTACCCCCAGTGCCTGAGGGAGATGCCCATGCACAGAATTGTCCCAAAGAAGAACAACATAACCCCTCCAGCATGGCTACACCCCCCCAAACACCCTGTTCTCTCCTGGAAAAGCCTTAGTCCCCTCTAGAAATCGCTGGCCTTTGAACTTCTAACCAGAAAAGTCACTTTGCTTTCAAAGAAATCCTCCTCTCGATGGTGAATTTTTACACTAATCGCTGTGGCAAAATGGGTTGGTAAAGAGACTTCTCCGCCTTTGCCCAGCAGGCAACACACCCTCGTTAGGTGGCTTTAATTGGCTGTGGGCATTGCTGTTCCAAGCCAGGTATAGCGAATGCCCTTTAAAACCAAGCCCCCAAAATGCTTTATCATGGCTGTTTCTAATTTGTGCCTCCCGCTAGTGGTATTTGAGCAGTCTAGGATTTAGCAGCAAGGATTTTTTTACCCCTGAAAACCTGACGCTGAGATGTCGATGTCAAAAGACAAGACTCCAAAGGAAATGCTACGATTAAAGAACGGGGCAAAAAGAAAAGCAGTTTTCTTCAGATAGGAGCTCCTAGGCTGTATGGTGATAGCTTTTTTTTTGTCTCCCACCCCTGCTTGCTCTTATTACAAATTAAAATCTGACTCTGAACTGCTGGAAGATTAATAGGAAGCTGAGAAACCCAATCCTAGGAAAGGAAACTTAATTGAGATGAAAAGTGACACTCACTCTTTGAAGTTTTTTTTTTTTTTCATTACGATTTTAGGTCGTCTCCTTTCGGGGTGGGTTCGTCAGCGCTCCCCAACCCTCGTTAGTGTTCACCGTGCTCAGAGCGTACGAGGCGGTCACTGCTTCCTCTAGCACAAAACCAGTTCTGTTACTCGAGATAAAAAACACAGCAGGGAGAACAAAAGGACAGAGTTTGAGGTATAAAAGCCAAAGATAACTGCGGTCTCCTTGAAGCCCAAGAAGTCCTCAATACACTTCTAATTGAAACACTTTTCCTCCTGTGCTGGATGATGGCTGGGATCTCAGAGCAGATCCTCTCGTTAAAAGACAGGCTTAGCAGTGGGGAAAATAAACATTAAAATGAGATGTCGGTGCAGGATAAGTAGCAATCGTTAACCTCATGAGAAGCAAAGAGGCGGTTGCTCAGGTGGTGTCTAGCAGAGCAACCACACCCCAGCGCGCCAACCGGATCAGGGAAATCCAGGCTAAATATAACCCTCGGAAAAGGGGGAAGGATTATTTGGAACCCAGAGCTCTTCACCCATCTTACTCCAGCCCAGCCCCACCAGCGTGTGTACCAGCACAGCACCAAGGGTGATGAACTGTAGGAAGGTCTTAAACTTCCCTTGTTGCTGAGAGGAAGGTAAGTAGCCACCGCCCGGGCTCTCCCAAAACACCCAAGCAAACGCACACAGACAGCGGAGGGGCAATACGAGGGTCAGGGTCATTCCCGTCCTTCTTAGGCTGCCCAGACGGGAGAGCAGCCAGCAGGCCAGGGCATCCCTCTGAGCACCAGCCCTCCCTGGAAAACCCCTTCCACCTCTCAGATGGAGCCGAAATGGCATCGAGCCGCTCGCCGAAGGGGATTTGCATGGGGCTTCGCCGGAGCGATGTTACTGCCATCGCGGGAGGCTGCCTTTCTCCCAGGTCTGGAATAAAACTCAAACCAAACAGTGCGCTTGTCA